TCTGTGTGTGTATGTGTCTCTGTCTGTCTCTGTCTCTCTGTGTGTGTCCAGCGCCGGGCTGCAGGACGGAGCGGGCAGCAATCCCAGCAGCAGCAACAGCAGTCAGGACTCACTCAACAAAGGAGCCAAGAAGAAGAGCATCAAGTCGTCCATCGGCCGACTGTTCGCAAAGAAAGAGAAGGCTCGACCCAGTCCGCTTGGGAAAGAGTCTCCTGGGCCAGGTGTGCCACCATCCACACCTCATCAGGGTTCAATGCTCCAAAGCCTATTTTCACACTATTATGTTCTTGCATCGTTACATTCAGCCCCATGTTCTCATCACTGCAATGAGACGATGAGTTTAACTGCCTCATTTAAATGTCAAATATCGCAGTAATGAGAATGAACGATACAGGTCGATACACAATACTGAACTCACGATACAATACTCTCATAATACTGTGAACAAAGCCAAAATAAAGAAGGGTTAAAATGGGATTTGATAAACAGCATAAAGAAGCAAAACACTTTAATAAGGTCCCACTAGTTAATGTTGGTTAATGCATTAAAGGGATAGTTCACCCAAAAATTACTCAACCCTGTAAAAGTTTATTTCTTCTGTTGAACAAAAAAGTTGATGGTCTCCGTTGACTTCTATTGTATTTTTCTCCATACTGTGAAAGTCAGTGGGGAGCACCAGCTGTTTGGGTTCCAACATTCTTCAAAATATCTTCTTTTGTGTTCAACAGAAAAAACAAACTCATACAGGTTTGGAATAACCTGAGGGTGAGTAAATAATGACAGAATTTTCATTTCATCTCTTTAACTAACAATGAGGAAAACATGTGTTACTTTATTTATTTTTTTCATCTTTGTTAACATTAGTTATTAAAAATACAACTGTTTATTGTTAGTTCATGTTAGCTAAGGTCCAGTAAACATTAACAGATACAACTTTTGTTTTTTACGATGTGTTAGTAAATGTTGAAGTTATAACATTAAGATTGATAAGCGCTTTAGAAGGATTTTCAATCTTAGTTATGTTAACTAATATAGTTAACTGATGTTAACAAATGGAGCACGATGTGTTAGTAAATGTTGAAGTTATAACATTAAGATTGATAAGCGCTTTAGAAGGATTTTCAATCCTAGTTATGTTAACTAATATAGTTAACTGATGTTAACAAATGGAGCCTTATTGTAAAGTGTTACCAAGCACTATTCATAAAATGACATAATTGGTATTACAACATCAAGGTTGAACTTGAATGATCTTGGGTTTGGACTAATGCGCAGAGATATAGAATATTGAATATAGAAATATTCATGATTCTGCTTAGCTGAAAATACTTTGTGTGAGATGCATGCGCTCAGTCACCGATTATTGCATGTAAAACTCTTTAAATATTGCATATTTTTATAAAAACATGTTTAACGGCAGTGCATGATTATCCAGTAAAATAATCTAGGCCAATCTTAATTTACTGGTTAAAACAGATATTTGGGGTTACAGTTTCCCAGTGCTATTATCATACATCATATTCAGCATTATATATAGTAGTTTAATAGTTTACAGCTAGTGTTAAGAAGAGATTCAGACAGTATACATGATACTACTGTTCCTCCACTACAAGCCAAACACTCGAGAGAACAAGCTGATGTGATGGTGTGTTTGTGTGGATCAGCGCTGGCAGGTTCGCCTGATGGAGGAAGTGCACAGGACGCTATGACGCTCGGGAAGATGGGCGGCCCTGCAGAGAAGAACCGAAAGCTGCAGAAGAAGTGAGTGACACATCAGTAGCGTTTGAAACAGGAAGTAGAAATGAGTCCGGTCAGTTGATCTCGAGTTCAGTTCGTCTTCACCTGACTGTCATGAGTAATGATGATGCTTTCCCGCCTGTTTTAGTTTTGTTGTTTGTTGTTAAACGTGCGGTCAGTCTCCCAGCAGAAGATGATGTGTCATGATTCATGTCTCAGTGGCTCATTCTGCTTGTGTTCCCTCCTCTCTCCTCACACACTCTTCCCACGCCTCACTCATAGCCCAAAGTCAGGGTAAGTGACCACAGACCGTCTCGGTGATGTTGGAGCGGTAAAGCGTGATGAAAGCCCCTGCACGTCTCATGCTTGCTGTGATGCACTCCAGCTCTACTAACATCTGACCTTTACAGACTCTATTTCACCCGCTGCATCTGCCCGTCTAACGCTTGAGATGGTGTGGTGTCAGTGTCAGAACTGTTGGTTAATTCCTAGATTGATGCATGGATTTATTTAGTGATCAGCGCTGCAGAGTCGGTGAAGAGCGTTAGCTGTGTTACGCTGACCGCAGAGCACAGAAGGGAACGGGAAACTGGCATGTGTTAGAAAGATTAGCGTATCTACTAGAAGCAGTTGTGAGAGTTTGTGGTTAAAAGCAGGGATGCACTGACATTTCAACTGGTCGGAAATGGCACAGGTGACCAGAAACTGATGCTTCTTTCACAATGCAGAATGCATGTGAAATGATCCAGGTTTAGTTGTATCCAGTGAAAAGGAGACGGGACATGGTTGATGATCTGCTCGAGGAAGAACACTAGCTGCCAGGACCGGCCTCTGCTGAAGTGCATTATGGGTCTCAGAGCCTCGTTCAGGACTAAATGCTTCTCTTCATTCTTCAGCATGACGTGATGCATGTTTATCTGCATTCTCCTTTCCTCTTAATGCTGCAGTAGCTGCATAACCTAATATTATGCAAAAAGAACGAACATGAGAATGTGATTTGGTGTTTTGTGTGCATTTGAAACTTCGCCTTCGAAAGGTGTCCTGCTGCTTTCTCTGCGTTTTGGCATGATGAAAACATGTTTCCTAACGTCTTGTTTAGAGAAGAATGAAGAAAGTGTGTCTGTGAGGAATATTTGTCCCAGTGTGTGCAAGCATAGGTTCAAGATCCACCCTCTATCATGACCGAAAGTGATAGTTCTCTCAAAAATAGGAAAATAAATCTAACTTGCTCCCCCTTTTATCAGTAAAGATGCATCGTTTTGTATGTGATGAAGACACTGAATCCCAGGTTGTTCAGGCGAGGTATTGCACTGATTTGATGGTGGAAGTGAAGAGGTCTGGACACTTTCTCTTGCTAACCCAGCTGCTGTTTCCCCTCCGCACGCATCTCTCATTCTCTGTCTGTGTGACTCCATCTGGGTTCTGCTCTCATGTGCATATTATCATTCTGACATGTTTGCACCATAAAGCGTGCTCTTTGCACATGCGTGCGTGCTCATGATGTCTTGTTTGTGTTTTCAGACATGAGTTGCTGGAGGAAGCCTGTCGGCAGGGTCTGCCCTTCGCTCATTGGGACGGTCCCACGGTGGTGGTGTGGCTTGAGGTACAGACACATCTACAGTACAGCTGTACAGCTGAGCTTCACATCTGTGCTGCATCACCCAGTCGCAGTAGCAGATCAGTGTTTCCATTACAGCTGTGAATCAGCATGACTGTGGTATTTCCTCATGTATGTGACTTCTGGTAATTCCTAACGAGAAGGCAGTTGCGGTTTCATTTGTGTGTGGCACAGGGAGGGTTTGATCACGAGTAAGTGGAAGCACAAGCGTGGCAGTTTGCCCTGATACTGTAAGGCTCGAGGTTCTCATCGGCCCATGTTGTTGTTGTTGTGTTCTCTCAGCTGTGGGTCGGGATGCCTGCGTGGTATGTAGCTGCGTGCCGTGCTAATGTGAAGAGTGGAGCCATCATGTCTAATCTGTCCGACACCGAGATCCAGCGCGAGATTGGCATCAGCAACCCTCTTCACCGTCTCAAACTACGCCTCGCCATTCAGGAGATCATGTCTCTCACCAGCCCATCAGCGCCACCTACCTCCAGAACGGTAGGAAACACCCGTTAAATAACTCTCAAATATATCCTGCAATGTTATCACAGGTGGAACCTGCCAGACATCAACACAGGGAGGTTTTCTTCTCAGATCAGTCTAGAAAACAAGCTTCACGCTCCTAGAAACTGAAGTAGGTTAAAGGGATAGTTCACCCAAAAGTGAAAGTTCTGTCATGAATTACTCGCCCTCATGTCGTTCCAAACCTGTAAGACCTTCGTTCATCTTCAGAACACAAAGAAAGATATTTCTGATGAAATCCCAGAGCTCTCTGACCCTGCAGAGACAGCAACAGAACTGACACGGTCAAGGCACAGAAAGGCAGTGAGCAGACTGACACGGAAGAGAAGAAACTGTTGAATAAAGTCGTTATTTTTGTTTTCTTTGCACACAAAAAGTATTCTCGTAGCTTCATAGCATTACGGTTAAGCTACTGATGTCACATGGACTATTTTAACGATGTCCTGTGCTGGCAAAATTAGTCACAATGAGCAATTTTTCAAAAATGAGTTATTTTCATTTTCACATTCAGATTAACAGATCTTCAGAATGATGTATGATTTGTTGGAATCGGAT